AAACCAAATATATCTCACCACTTGACTATTGTAAATCACAAAGCATAGCTCTACATCATATTCCAAATGCTGAAAGAAGTGGAAAAACTTTTTGTATCATTTTTCATTTATTATTATAAGCAAATCTCCCTTTTAAAATTAGTGGAATACTTTTAACAATTTCTTACATGTTTGATTTTGAAATTTACTATGAGCCAAATGACAAACATTATTGGTGAAAATATGTGTGAGGTAATTTGCTTTATCAATAATGAATTCATGGGGCTGAGGAGACCGCTCAATCTAAGTGCCTGCCTGGCAAGTGCAAGGACCCAGGTTTGACCCCTAGTACCACATGCCAGGCTGGCCTTATGCTGTGCTGGCCCTGAAACCAGGCATAGTGGCACACCCCTGTAATCACAGCACTAGGGAGGCTGAGACAGGAGGATCACTATGAGTCTGAGCTGCCTAGCAAGACCCTGTACCAAAATAAATAAATAATTTTAAATATATAAATAAAATTTTAAAAATAATGAATTCATGTCATCTTTGCCTTGTAAGTCATGCATAAATCATAGTATATATATGCAAATATATAAATGTGTATTTTTAAAATTATACATATTTCATTTCTAGAATTTTTATCCTGAATTTTAATGGTCAATCCATATTGTACATTTTCATCCATTTACATGTATATTCGACATGTGCTTTTAGGTTTGTTTTGTGTGTCATATTCTGTGTAAGAGAAAATAAAATTAAGTATTTGGGTTGGAATAGCTGAAAAATCTATTGCATTTGCTAATATTGGAGAAAAGTACTATAGTAAGTAGGTTTAGGAAGAAAATAGTGAAATGGGCTTTGGAACCAATCGTTTTGAGCTGTTATTTCCAGGTACAAATATCTATGTGCAGTTGGGGATGGATCAGCACCCACATGGGGAGGTAGATATGTGAGCATTTGCTTCTTCGTTGGTTCATTTATCAGAGTGTTAGAGTTTCACATTGACTTCAGTTCTTTAGATGGCGTTAGGTCCAATTTTTTTTCTTAATATTAGTAAATAAAAGAGGGCTGCTGCCTGTTTAAATGTCAGGTAACGTCTAAGCTTTTGCCTTACCATGTGAGTCAATGCAGGCCACGCACAAATGATCGTGGTTGTTGGAGGAACATACACCTTGTGACTCAACCTGAAGGAGTCTACGCAAATATGTGTGAAGACTGTTTGGGCCAAGTAGGTTCTTGTGATGACAAGCAAACAAGGAAACCTTGTTCAGGAGCTTCTCATGATTCTTCCACACACTAGTCCTCCTTTATCTGTGTTTTGTTTCCCACTGTTTAAAGTACCCAGGGTCGACTCAGGCCTGCAAATATAAAACAAAAAATTCTCAGAATGTAATTAGTAAGTTTTAAATTTTCTAGCATTCTGATTACTGTGATAAAATCTCATGTCATTTTTCTCCTCCCACTTTTTCAATGATATCTTTATTCAACATATATAAGCTATCTCAGTGATATAGAGTAATTATTAATATCCATAAATAAACATCTACTTGGTAATAATAAATTCCTATGTTAAAAATAAACTTATTAGCTTCCAATGCATAGTTATTCCATAAAACAATAAAGATAACAACTGTGCTCATTTCCTAACAAAATTGCTGCTGCAGGAGCTGATCTGGAGTTTGATTCTTACTATTCCTTAATATATTTAATTTCAAAATAAATGTAAATATATGAAAAAATGTAAACATGATTGTGATGAAAAGAATGATTACATTTCCCAAATATTACAATGCTGACTTGGTTGGCATGTTAATTCTATGTCTAACAACTACCTAGATTTTAAACCTTGGTTAATATACCTTGAAATAACTATAATTTGTAGTGTCCATGATGAGTCTTATTTCATGTCACTTTGAAGCCAGACACATTTATGCTCTCCAGAACTGTTTGCTTTGTTCTCTTCTTTTTTTATTCAACACAGACATTTATAACTACTGCTTATTTGTACAGGTTGACATAAATGGAAATAAAAGTATATCACAAACTCCACTTAAAATAACATGTTGTTCTACAGTAACAATTATTTTTTAATTTATTTATGTTTATATTTTATTTTTACTTATTTATTGGATACATGATCTCACTATGCAATTCAGACTCATATGATCCTCCTGTCTCAGCCTCCCCAGCACTGGGACAAGCATGTGCCACCACGCCCAGTTTCGGGGCCAGCATGGTGTGTGGTACCAAGAATTGAATTTGGGCTTTTGCACTCGCCAAGCAAGAACTTAGACTGGCAAGCTATCTCCCCAGCCCCAATAATTAGTTTTATAAAAATCAAAATTTAAAATTATAGTGCCAATTTATAGTCTTCTATAATAATATCATTTTTTAAAAAAAACTTCTAACTTTTTTCTACAAGTTCTGGAAAGAACTTAAGCTAATATACAATTGTTCTGAAGTGATCATTTCAAAAATGGTAAATATATACACTTTTTTAAACAAGATTTTTAAAGTACAAATTTAAAAATACCTGTTGTCTAGTTAAGATAAAATGGATTTGGCGTCATGAACAACCATCTGAAATTCAGGAAAGCTTAAATGATAAGGAGTCATTTGTTTGGGAAAAACAATGCATTTGGTTCATCTGCTTAGCATACAAATTAAAGAACACGGATCACACTGATTAGCCCTCTACTGAGTGCAAGCGTGTGCTGGGCTACAGTTAACCAATTTTCTTTGACCAATATCTTATACCATGTAGGATTTATTAAAACCACTTTGTTATACATATATAATTGTATATTATTTTTTAAAATTTTAAACAATACATATGCTATTGTCATTAAAGTAAAAATTCAGAAAATAAGATATTCATGAATGTTAGATTCTAGGAGAGACTCACATTATTTTGTGTAATTTACATTAATAATAATTGAAATATATGCTCTTCATGCATTAAATCTAAAAATGTTAAAACAAAACATTCACCATCAAAATCAGAATTTTGATATTTGTAAATATGTTTGTGATTTGTCTATTAGGTCTTATAATTTCAGTGTTAAATTCTTTTATTTTCGCCTGTAGACAAGGTCTACAGGGTCTATCGGGTCTCACTATGTAGATCAGAAGTATAGTGATTCTCCTGTTTTCAGCCTCCCAGGTGCTGGGATTACAGGCGCGCATCAGCACACCCAGTGTCAGTGGCCATCTCAGCTCATCCCATGGGCGGGGCCAGCACTACAGGCCCAGGATTCAACCCCAGCCATTGCACTCCACTTAAGTAGGTGCTTTGGTCCACTGAATTATCAGGCTGGCCTCAGTAATAAATATTAATCTGATACATTTTAATCTAAAACTGACTTATATTACTGTGATCTAGAATTGTGATTAAAAATATAAAAGTTATCTGTAATTTTTGTAAGATCTAATTATGTGGAATATACAGTTAGTTTGCAAACAGCTTCCTTAAATTTTCTAAGTTTATGTAACCTCCTTTTAACTTCTAAATCTCCCTTTGCTTTATTCAGTCTTTTGAACTGCACTACCTTCCTCCGTTGCTACTGTACTTTACGATTGAGGGCCAAATTAGTGTATACTTGTACCTTCTTAAAGGAACTTACTATGATTCATCTTTCTTCAAAGGAACGGCACACAAAGTGTAGTATTTAATTGGCATGGCATTTTAAGTTTAAAAGTTAGTTAAAATGCGCTAGTGAAGATCCTGATCTGGAGTCGCTTCCACTGAATATTTTCAAATCACATTCTGAAATGTTCAGATGTCACCCTATGAAAGTACTGCAGATTTCATGTGATTGCAGTCTCTGTGTACTTCATAAGTTTCTAAAGAATATTTTCCACATTTCATGTTCTTCTTTTTGAAGGAAATACCAGAAATGTAAAAGAAAATCCTACCCCTAAAAAGCTCATCATCTAGCTGTGGAAACAAAACAAGTAAATAATAAGATATAAAAATCAATAATAGATGAAGCATAAATTATAGAAGTAGAATCACTAAATTCTTTCAGTAAATATGCGAAAATAAGAGCTATGTCTGTACCAACAACATAGTATCTGAAGATAAATAAAATTGTAGGGCCGGGGAGAATAAGTAGAATAAGTGCTTGCCTTATTGATTTTGTTCAATCCCTGGCATGACAAAATAAATAAATAAATAAATAAATAAATAAATACAATTTTTTAATTGATTAATGGGAACAAAATCTAAGCAATGGTTTATTTTGCTGTGTGTCTGATTCAAAAGAAATTGCTGAAACCTAGACCAGCAAATAGCTCAGCGGATTAAAGTGCCCGCTTGGGTGGATGCAGGAGCCAGGAGTTCCATCCCCTGGTCAGCTGTGCTGGCCCCACCCCCAGATTACACTGAGACAGAGATTGAAACTGGGCATGGTGGCGTGTGCCTATAAACCCAGTACTTTGGAGGCTGTAAGCAGGAGGATCACTACAAGTCCAATCTATGCAGTGAGATCCTGTACACCCTGTCTTTAAAAAAAAAAATGCCCAAACTCTTATCACTCTTGTTACAGCAAAATCAAGAAAGGATTTTATGAATCACAATTACTTTGGATTGGCACAGAAGTGTTGTAAGAGATTAGTATCATATGGTTCTGCAGAACTACAAAATAGACATCTTATGGGTGATCCATATGGCCCTTAATGACTTCTAATGGTTTCAACAACCAAACATCATCACCATTTATTCAAATAGCAAATACACTTGGAATTCTTACTCCTTGTGTTTCTAATGAGCTTACAAAAACACTATAACAAAATTGCAAAAATTGGGTGGTTCACACATACACTTGTGTATCATCATCTTACAGAGCTGAGAAGCACAATATTAAAGTGAAAGTAGATTCAATCTGTGGTCCAAAGACCTTCCAAGTTCTGGTAACTGACCCAACCCGCGGGACCCTGGAAGGGAAGTGGGGATGAAATAGGGACAGGAGACACGAGAAATGGAGGCAGGACAAAGGTTCTGATCAAGCCCTATTTATTCAAGGAAGTCTCAGTGAATTTATAGGAAGCGGGGAAGAAGAGGGAGGAGTGATAACACATCATCAGGTTGTTAGGCACTGAGGGGTGGTCTCTAGGGTGGAGATCAGGCATGTGACTTCTGGGAAATGGCTTGGCAGGGAAACAGAAACTTAGCTCTGGGAAGGTCACAAGACAACAGATCAAATGCAACAGTCTGTAGTATGAGGCCAAACATTGGTCTCCCACAGGTCCCCCTTTCTTTTAATATGAAATGCCAAGAAATGACTGTGTCCCTGAGGAGACTGTGTCTGGCTTGGGTCAGGGAGCATGCACTTCACCCCAACTCTACCTTACCCGTTATTAGAAGGCTGGACAGCATAAGGCCCAGTTCCCGTCTTAGGTGGTGGTTGGTGACACGTGTGAGTCCCAGTTGCCCTTCTCTGACTTTCCAGTCTATCGCACCAAGGTGAGAAAGCCGAGGCACTTTAAGGCTCAGTGACATCGTGTGTATATCTGTTAAAATTTGAGTAGCTTTCTATATCAGTCATTTCAAGTCTATGGTAATGGACCTGTAGGGGTTGTAGTTTTATGGCATTAACCTGCTGTCTAACAAAGGCCATTAGCCTGTTAAAGGGGCAGGGTCCCAGAGATAGTAAAACTAGGAATCCTGTGAGGGGCCCGAGTAAGGGGAGGAGGTAGGGCAGTATCCCATTCCAGGCACTCCAAAAGGGATTGTCAAATAGCTCCTTTCTTCTTTTTACCAGGTCCTCTTGAAGTTTTTTGATTTTGTCTCGGACGATACGGGATTTGTTTGCATAGAAGCAGCAACCTTCCTGTAAAGCCAAGCAGATCCCTCCCTGTTCTGCTGTGAGGAGATCTAACATTCTTCTATTTTGGAGGACTACCTCCTCAAGAGAATCTAATTGATCTTGAACATCCTGAATTGTACTAGACAGGGTTTGGAAGTCATCAATTAGCTGGTTAGAGAGTTTAATATGAGAGTGTATTGCAATTCCCATTCCTGTTGATCCTGTAGCCAAGGCTCCAGAGATGCCTAGGCCTACTAACAGAGGGATGAATTGGACTACTCTTTTAGACTGGCCTGAGATATAGTCAAAGGTAGGGATGGGAACAGGCTCGTCTCCTGGTATGATATCTATGTCAGGTAATAAGGTGGCCATCACACATAGTCCTGTCCCATTGGTAGGGAGGAAGGTTAGAGCCATATTTCCTCCACAAAAGAAAACTTGTCCTTTTAGCGGGCAGAGGGGTGAGCTATAATTGGTTATATGTCTACAGACAGTAAATGTAACAAAGCCAACATCAACGTCAGATGTGTCCTTGTTAAATTTTCCTTGAATGCAGGAGGGATTTTTGAAACCCAAAGGTTGAACTCTGAAAGGCAAACTGAAGGAGCAATTACCAGTGTTTATAGGAGGGGAGGTAGAATTGGGTGGAATGGCAATGGGCAAGGGAGTGCCAGAGACCACGCATAGCCAGCAGTCTCTAGCCAGCTCGGGGCTGGAGGCATTGAGAGCCTTATGGGTAGCTATAAAAATATCTGATGTCTGTTGATCCAAGTCTATACCTCTAGATTTAGGAAGTATTAAGGGATGATATTGAATCTTTGGGAATAATTGGTCTATGATCTCTTGGATCCTTTCCTGGACCAATAATTCTCTGATTTGGTCTTGAGGGCCGCCCCCATCTGAAACATGGAC